GGAGGTGTTTTTGGGAGGTACACGTGAGAGGTATTTCTGCCACACCCTGTATAATTGCTTTTTGAAAGAGTGATATTTTAGCACATGTAGTCATATGTTTGAATAACATTCATACCTTGATATCTACCTTTTTATACTGAGTCTATTTTTTATTCCTTTAATAAGGCGACAATTTACCCTCACCCAACTGTTATTTTCTAACTCTTGAATTGTTCTTCTTGTTTTTAACCCTTCAAAATTTGAGTGATTTTAATCTCATTGCTAAAAAATACGCATTAGTACACCCTTGTGCGAATTAATTGAAAGAAAACGAATAATTTCATATTTATTTACTTTTTTTCCGTATTTTTCCAATGAAACGTTGGGACAAAAACAGCAAAGATGAGGACAATAGTATGAATATAAATAGTGTAAAAAAATGATAACCTTCTTATTGATCTGCAATATCACTTATGCGTTTAATGTTAAGATATTTTATGAAATATATTCAGGGATTCTCAAATTTAATTTCTTTCACTATATTTGCCAGGCTCAGACGAACATGCATAAACCCAGTGACACACAGTTACGGATTTAACTTAAATTATGGATTCTTCCTTAATCATATATTTCGAATAGTATGAATCAAAAATTTAAATTCGTTTCACCTCCTAACTGCTATCTTAAACCCTTGTGCAAATTAATTGAAACAAAACGAATAATTTCATTATTATTTACTGTTTTCCGTATTTTTCCAATGAAACATGACCCAGTGCACATGTTAGTACTTCGTATGTCCATTCCCCGAAGTCGTTCCTTACAGATTGACCACAGATTCACGATTGGGTTAAATTAGGAGAGTTTGCAAGCCAGCTGATAGTATTTTGATTTGCTCACTGGTAAGGCTTGTAATTGTGTTTGTATAGCGTTAGAATATTCAAAAGCTTCCTTAGAGTAACGTCCATTGCAGACAATAGCCGTAGGACAACTAATCGACAGTCGAGAAAATAGTGTCTAGGCGTGATAAAAATCTGATGCAATCACGGATGATGCAATAATTTTCAAGGCCACAAATTTATCATACATTCCGAAAATAGATTCATGTTACTGTACACCACTGGAAATAACCTAATCTGAGTAAAAAATAGAAATTGATTACACCGTGTCACTCCAGTGGGTCTAAAACTGAGTGGTGAAAGAAAGGAAACTAAAGCAGTTGTTTCAAATAATTTGCACGAGGGTGTATATATATATATATATCAAAAAGATATATGGATTTCACATTCATTTTTTCCAGTACCTCTTTTTTATCTTCCTTTTGCTCTAATCTTCATAAAAATTAATGCATCAATATTTTCGTATCTTTCCCTCCCGACGTTGCTCATTGTTTATTGATATCCAAACAGTTCGATTTTTTTTTTTCCATTTCGTTTTTCAATGTTTCCTCGTTTATGCACTATATCAGATTATATAGTCCGACCTCTTTAATCCATCACCCTGGGGACCAGGCCACTGCCGAGCCACAGAAAATGCTGGAAGACATGAATCATCGCTAAGAAAAAACTCTATGTAAACATAGTCTTATCAGCTTATTCCGTAAATATATTGCTGTAATATCAAAGGTTGAACAAAACTTAAAACAAGAAATAAAACAATCATTAATGCTTCCAAACAATGTTTTTTTTTCGTTTTTTTTTGTTTTTTTTTTCAAGCACTAACTCATCTTTTCCAGCATAGATAAAAATGTCTGCTTAAGCTTCTTACCTCTGGCAGCATCATCTGGTATCTTAGGTGGAATCCTGCGTGTGTAAATACTCAGCTATACATAATAAATGAGCAACTGATGAACTTTCCTCCACGCTACCTAGACTATGAATTTAAACGCAGTACTAGATTGGCAGTAAGGTCTCGTTAGTTTACAGTTGAAATAGCTAGATGTCACTGTGAGTTTTATGGTAACAGTTTCTTTTCTCGCACTACAGGCTTTTGGAACTCTATTCCAGCTTCTTGCTTTCCATTTAAGGTTTTCTAAATTAGACTCCCCTAAGCTAAGTAGAGGTGACGGGATACCAGAGCTGGCTTCAGTTCTCTCCAAACTCTACAATTATTGCCTCGGTCTTCCTGCTTTCTAGCTTGTTGGACGCCCTCTTATGCGTTCCTTGTTTTTAAGAACTGTGGAGAATATTCTGACCCCTCCAACTATCTCCGTATTAGTCTCATATAGCCTTAAAGTAAAGTATTCGAGGCTTTAATCAAAGTGGTTAAGCATCTTACCTCTCACGACATACACTCTGACAAACAATATGGCTTCCGTTTTACCGGGTTTACCGCTGACATGCTTACGGCCAACACTGGATTTGTATATCAAGCTCGTGATAATAACGGTGGAGCGCGAGCTGTGGATCTAGATATATAAAAGATGTTTGACAGAGTTTGGTAATCTTCAGGGCTGAAGTATTACCGGACTATTGTTTGATTTAATCCAACCATTCTTTTCAAATTGTGAAATGAAGGTCGTTTTGAACGGGCTCGCTTCGAGGTCCTTGCACACGAACGTCGGTGTCCCACAAGGCTCTATCTTGTCTTACGCTGTTTCTGATCTTCATCAACGATCTTCCTGATGCCATGAGTTTCCAAATAAGGATTTATGCAGATGATACTACCATTTACTCTTGTCTCAATAGTAAATCCATGAGAAATAATATAGTTAACCTGGCTACTGTTTTGAAATGGACTTGCAGTCAGTGGTTAACTGGGGTAGGAAATGGCTTGTTAATTTTAATTCCTTCAAAACTAAACTGCTTTCATGTAAGCACATCCCTGCCCACCATCAGCAAGGCTGATACTCACTGTGCCTTCTTAACTGACTTGAAGTAGAACAACTATATTGAATCAATAGCTGCATCTTCTGCAAGGAATGTTCGTTCATTGTATCGTGCCAGAAGGTTTTACTCGTTAGAATACATTTTGCTTATTTACCAATCTGCCATTCGCCCGTGCATTGAATCCTGTTGCCATGTTTAGTTTGGTGCCTCTGCTGTACATCTCAAGGTTCTTGACAAAATCCAAAGAAGGATCTGCAATGTAATCGTTCCTGACTTGACATCAGTCACTTTCTCACAGACATGATATGGCTTCCCACTGTTCTTTCCTACAAATATTTTCATGGCAACTGCTCTGACGATCTTTTTTCCTGGTATCCCGACTACATGAATTTAAGCCAGTTACTAGATTAGCATCTAGGTCCCACCCTTTTTCTGTTGAAATAGTTAAATGTAACCGCCACTTCTACTCCAACAATTTCATTTCTTCCACTTTCCGACAGGGGAAGTCCCTTCTGTTTCCTTGCTTCCCTGAAAACTACAATCTTCAAAAATTTAAATGCAATGCCAATCGTTAACTTCTGTTTTCTTAATATTGTCCTTTTATTGCATTCGCTTCTTCATATTGTTTTTCTTTTTCTTTCATTCTTATATTCTTTCATTCTTATATTCTTTCATTCTTATATTCTCAGTAATACCCTGTGTAAATTTGAAATGATTTGAAAGCATTAATTAATTAAATAATAAATAAATAATAATAATAATAATAATAACTAGAAATTACAGAGCATACATACTAAAAAATTGTGTTAGACCAAAATGCGGATTCTGTGATAAATATCCAGAAACAATTGACCATATTGTATCAGGCTGCGCGGTATTGGCACCCACTGAATATAAAACACGGCACGAAAGATTTGGCCAATATCTGCACTGGAAAATATGCAACTTTTACGGAAAGGAAACTGCAAGAAATTGGTATGAACACCAGCAAGACCCTGTTACGGAGATAGGACCTGTAACAATTTTATTGGGACTTCAAAATACACACGGACAGAACAATCAAAGCTAATCGCCCTGACATCGTGATTAGAGACTTGCAAAGAGAAATGCGTTTCCTTATTAACATGGCATTCCCTGCAGATTCCAATATATCTTTGAAGATCTTCAAAAAGCTATCAAAATACAAGGACCTTGAAATCGAAATCTCAAAAATGTGGCACATGAGGACATTAACAATTCCAATTGTAGTTGGTGCCTTCATATTGATTGGAAAATATTTAAATAGACTCATTGAAGGGATTCCTGGAAGTCCATGCCTTAAAGAAATACGAAAAATTGTATTCACAGCCTACACTTTACGAAGGGCTTTATGTAAAATATGTGTGAATTTTTTTCAAAACTTCTCAGTGAGAAATGTTATGACACCATTTCTGACCTTAGGTCACTGGTTGGGACCCGGAAAGAAATGAATATAGATCAGAAACCAAAGGAAATAATAATAATAATAATCTCGAAAATGTGGCATATGGGAACATCAACAATCCCTGTTGTAGTTGGAGCCCTAGGACTGGTTGGAAAAGATTGCAGTAGACTAATTGAAGGATCCCTGGAAGTCCATGCCTCAAGGAGATACAAAATTTTTTCTGACAAGTACAGCCCACACCTTTTTTTAGGGCTTTATCTATGTAATTTAATTTTTTTTTTTTTTTTTTTGTCAGTGGAAAGTGTCATGACGCCATTTCTAACCTTAGGTCCCTGGGCGGGACCCAGAAAGAAATGTGTAAAAAGAGAAATCAAAGAAAATAATAATAATAATAATAATAAAGACCGTATCACCAAAACAATCTGCTGCTTCGTAAAGTTGTAAACGTGAGGTGCTTCCATCGTAGCCTCTCTACGAACTAATGTCAGCTGAGTCAAAAAAATAGTACCGGACCATGGGTGTTGTCGAATCATAGAGTTCCGGATTAAAGAGGTCTGACAGTATTTTTGCAAGTCAAAGTTTCACAATAAAATTTATTTTGACGAAACCACCGAGGGAAATGTTTACAAGATATATTTATATGAGCACGATATAGATTTAAGCTTAGGATTTTTTTTTCTTTTTACGATATTTCGCTTCAGGACATAGGCGATTATGACTCCAATCAGATTTCTTTTATTTTCCCTATCTGTCGGGCATCCCTGAAAGGCTTAAGGCCATATCACGGTGAAACACCGGTTCTCATATGATCACTTAAGTTAAGCAACGTCGAGCCTGATCAGTACCTAGATATGTGACTGCTTTGGAACACCAGGTGCTGTAAGTTTGAGTGTGCGGGTGGTGTAATAGATAACTACTGGAACTGGAAGTCAGAGAGCCGAGTTCCAATTCAAGTCGGGTTTGTTATATTCGCTTCCTCGTGGAAGCTATGAATATACCTTTTCTCCCCCAGCTATGGATTAATTAGTAAGTCTTGAATGAGTACAACATTATTATCTCCCTAACATTTCTTACCACCTGAAAATGTTCTCTGGCTTTAAATAACCTGCAAAGGGTTGATAGACTGTAAAAAAAAAACAATCAATATAGCCATAAATCCTGTTATCCTATCATTCGATGAAAATTAAAATTTAGATTTAAATTTCATATGCTATTTCTTTATCAATAATTTTATGCTAGACGTATAAATCTTGTATACCCAGCTTTTTTATTTGATCAACATTTTTATATATTCTCCGTTTTTACTATTTATTTTAGGTTCTAGCAACCCGTTTTACAGGTGTAAGTCCTTTTTTTTTTACTTCGATGAAATATCGATCAAAATAATTTATCCCGATTTAATCTTTAATTTTCATTTTTTTTCTGATTTTCCGTTGGTGTATAATGAGTAGGTTAGAAGTGCAAATTATTCATGCAAATATTATCGGAAAATCTGCCAAAATATCTGATTATGATATTGGAACGATGGCCATCAGGCACGAAAACCTGGACATATGTTTATTTTAGTACAAGGGATATAACTCTGTTAACTTTAGAATCGATGTAACTGCAGCCACAAGCTATGCAGCGCATTGTAGGTGATTTCATTAAATGTCTTTCAAAAAATGAATGCTTCATTACTGAGACTTTGAATACATTGATTACTTAACCACATTTTTAGAATATATATATATATATATATATATATATATATATATATATTCTTTACCCAAATTTTTAGAATATATATATATATATACACACACATATATATATATATATATATATTTTTTTTGCCGATAATAAAAAAAGAAATCTAAAATTCCCAGCACACCTCTGCCGTGCACATGTGTGCTCTTACGGGCACAGCAAAATTAGTCCGATGAAGTCCTAAAAGACAAAATGCATCACAAGGTAAACTTTTCATAAAATTCCCCACCACATAAATATGTTATAAAATCTCTACTTTAAGACACCAGAAGTGTTGAAATAAAATGGCTATTTTTGTAGTGATTTTATAACATATATATGTTATAATTTCGAAATAAATAATTATATATATATATATATATATATATATATATATATATATATATATATATATATATATATATATATATATATATATATATATATATATATATATATATATCCTGTTTCATAAGGCAAAACTTTCAGTATGAACCGTATCGATGCCGGGAAATACGTTAAACTGAAGAAACAAATGCACACACGCAGCCACACACACACATACACACAAACATACACACACATATATATTTTTATATATATATATATACATGCACACTTACGTACGTATAGATACGTGGCTATGCATACAAGTATGGATATCTTCAAGGAGATATGTTATAAATTTATAAATAGCTATATATTAGACGAATAATGGTTAATCGAATGGAAAAAAAACACCTTCCTTAGTCGATTTTTCCGTTTTCGTATTCGATCACTCATACATATATACATACATACATACATACATATATATGAATAATATGCATACTCAAAATATATACAATTGTGATTCTTACTCAAAACATCGCTATAGATAGATAGATAGATAGATAGATAGATTTTTATTAAGGCAAATCATATATGCACAAAATGCAATCATTCTGACTCACCAGAAGTTTAAGTGAAGTATTTAGATTAAAAGATAGATAGATAGTTAGATAAAAATGTCGCCTCTCAATTTTAAATGAGAGTATCCACAATAATACCGTTTGCAGAAATAAAAATTACAGATTAAAAATAAATTCATTAATTCTGTAAAATATATATATATATATATATATATATATATATATATATATATATATATATATATATATATATATTGAACAAAAAAAAAAATAAAAAGGTTAAAATCTTCAGACACACTGAGTGGTATATTAATATTCTTTCGTTTTTATTATTATTTAATTTAGATCACTGACTAGTTTAGGCTAACATCAGGAGAAAACAAAAAAATGTTTGCTGGTAGCAGTGAACTACAGAAATGAATGTCTTGATGGAGAAAATGAACTTTTGTCTGTAGTTTTCATTTGTTTTTTATTATATATATATATATATATATATATATATATATATATATATATATATATATTACAATTCCTTTTATTGTACATTTTTCTTGTTAATTTTAAATCTCCCGTTGAAGCCTGAAGAGCGGGAGCGAAACCGGTTGGTTTCACCCATTTTTTTTTTAATATGTCTCGTAATATTAAATTTTATACTTTTATTTCGATCATATATATATATATATATATATATATATATATATAAAATATGACAAATTGGAAAATGTTTTCTTGTAATGTGTTTCGTCCATTAGAACTTCATCAGACTAAAGTGATATTTACGTTGATACGACTATACTTACAAAGGAGAGGAGACGCTAAAAATTTATTTTAAAATGCCTGTAAGTCGCCTCTAATTGGTGTCATTGCGTGTATTTTCTAATAATTTCTTAGTTCTGGTCATTTTCAAAGTATTTTGCCTAAACAATCAACATACTTCTGCTATATTAATGACACTCTATTAATATATCTCTGTGGAATTGATTTATTTGATCTTGTAGATAAACTAAATGCAGTCGAACATACGATAGAATTTACTTATGAAATGGCAGCATCAATACTTTATCTTTTCTGCATGTTGCGTTACAGCGTGTTAACTGTAGTCTAAAACTTCAACTAATAAATATTATCGAACAAAAATTTTATTCTCATCATAACAATGGAATAATCATCAGATTCTATTTTAGAGAAACTTAGAATTTGTAGCTCTCAGTATTTACACGCAGAGTAGAAATACACTTAAAATACTTTTAAGCTCCTCCAATGTCAAAAAATATTTCAAAATAGAAAAGCTGATCTTCCGGACAAACCCAACGAATAAAAATATTCTTCCACCCACCAACTCTATCGCAACTACAATTTTAAAAAATGTATCTGAATTCAACATCAAATTTGGCAAAAATATATCTAAAAAAGTAAAAGTCTTAATTAATAGAAAACAAAATAATAAGCTAAACGTGAGGAAAAATAATTACTCTGTTACCTGTAATAATTGCCACAAGAAATACATCGGAGAAACCCTAAGGAATGTAAATAAAAGATTATATGAACACAAAGGGGATCTTTTACAAAACAACACGCTAAATGCTTTGGTTAATTCTGACTTAAAAATGCCACCCTAATTAAAAGATAAAACAATTCACTAAGACAAAAATATTTAGAAAGTGATTCAATCGCTAGTTCATCAACAATAAATTTGCATCCAGCTTCATACGGCGTTTTACCTTTCTTGACAGGTTTTTTTAATCATAACGTAGCATATTTTTATTTTTTAATAACACAAGTGATGGAAGCATAAACAAAAAGAAAAATTATCTTAATGAAACCGGTTACATTATATACTCCAAAAGATATATATTAAACAGAAAACCAAAAAAAAGGCATTTAAATTTAAAATTCCCAGGGTCCATTAACCTTTGTGCTTGTGTGTGTTTTCTAACACTTTGTCTTTGCTAGAGAGTCCCACGAATTGAATCACGACGAATCCTGCTTATAGATGTTATTTCCACAAGAACACACTCTCAAGATTCGAAAGTATAAAGAAAAAGGAATGCCCAGATAATATTTAAAATAAAACTGAAGGTAAGTGCTATTAACCCGATTGTTAGTGAGTAATAGACAGAAATCTTTATATATCAAGAACAATTGAAAAGAGTTTATCTAAGCTTAATATAAAAATAGTTAAAACTGATTCTAAAGCAATAAAACAAAAATAATGAGCTAATGAAGGAGGAATTTACTCTATAAGCTGTAATAATTGCCACAAGAAATTCACAGTAGAAAACTCATGGAATTTAAATAAATGATTATATGAACACAAAAGAGATCTTTTACAAAACATCAACACACTAAATACATTAGTTGGTCACCTTAATGAGTCTGGCCATAATTTAAAATTGTTGCTCTAATTAAAAGAGAAAGCGATTTATTGAATGAAAATGTAGGGAAAGTACTTTTATCGCAAGATTATCTACAGAAAATTTGCACCAAGTTTTTTTTTTCATATCATTTCTCATTTCTTGTGTTATATATTCTATTATGACAATGTGGGATATTGATAACAAAAGTGATGAAAACAGAAACAAAAACAAGTTAAACTAAATCGGCTAGATTATATAACCAAAACATATATTTAAAAAAAATAATAATTTAAATGTAGAATTCTCAGCGTTTTCTCTTCTTCGCGCGCTTATGTAATCGCACGGACGTAAACGTCATTTTAGTCCAATCGAATCCTAAGGGACGAAATGCGTCACAAGAAAACAGTTTTTAATTTGTCACTAAAAATGAGTATAGAAATATACTGTCTGACAGTCATGAACGGGTTCCCCTGTTCGTGTGGCATGGTGCAGAGTCCTGTTGTCAGACATAGGCTCTTCTATCAACTACCCTCTTTACCCAGAGCAGGACTACCCATTCAAGGCACTTGATGTAGGCCTCCGTGTTGAATCTGAGTTGGAAGATGAATGAAGGAATAACGGTACCATCATTCGTGATCTCCCCAAACACCTTCGTAATCAGTATTAGACTCATCAAACTCTTTCCGAATAATCTACACTGTGATTGACACCAAAACACAGTGAAATGTTCATACTGGAATTTCCGGCGCGAATGGCAAACAATATAGAATGTCGTTTCCAAATTTCTAGGGCATTGAATTGCATTATTGTGCCACTGTATTTCTCATAGATGGTGTCCAAATGAGCCTTCTATACTGTAAGTAGTAAATTTTAAAAAAATAATTGAA